CCACCTAGGAGACCTAGAAAAATCAAATCAGTCTGAAGAAGCAGACTAAATTAAAATCAAGTAGGTCATGAAATGCAGTAGAATTTGACATGTGAGTGATTTGAATATTTGGGACTTTCTTAGAACCAAAGAAACCTTCAAGATGGGATGTATCAGATAAAGAGAAGGAGAAAAAAGATTCTATCAGTGAATTCATTAGTCTTGCCAGATCAAAAGCTGATCTTCTGCAGAAGCCAGCAGTGCCAACAACAGAAGAAAGTGGAACAAAGGCAGCTGAAACACTTCCCAGCGAGGTGGGTTCTTAGTGGTGTTGGGATATAAAGGAGAATGACTGTAAACCTTGGAAATAATGTTGTGTACTGTATGAATTGGTTTAATAAAAATTAGTTTGCCAAAGGGCCAACTCAGGGTAAGGTTTGAGATTGCTTTTGGAAGAATTTTGAGGTTATAACTGAGATGTGAAACTTCCACAGTTTACAAGGATAGTAAGTATGGCTGTATTTGAAGTAACAGCTTAGGGATAGATAAAATGTCACTCACAGTCTGGGAGTTAAGTTCAGTGCATCCACTTTGCTCACAGGCACAGGATATATATGTGTCTTCTGCTTTAAGGAGGAGGATGCATACTTTGTAGAGACAGGTAATGTTTTCCTTTTTAATAAATTTACTCTGGTGTGTAAGTAAAGTTTGAAGTAATGAATTAGAATTTATAATAATTTGGAATCTGCTTTCAATTGTGCATGGAGCACAAATTTTAGTACTCTTTACAGGAAACTGAGCTTAGCAGTGCTTCAGTGGATTGAACTAAGAATTACTAAGATTGTAAACTTATGTGTTTGTGATGTCTTTGTTGTTGTGATGAAGCTTATGTTATGTGATGTTTGATTGTTCAGTCAATACATCCCAACATATTTGAAATTATTATATTGCTTAACTGATCAGAGAGGGATTTTAATTTCTTTAGGTGTCTAAATGTGGTTTGTTACACTGCTTTGCAGGTAGATAATGAGAATAAGGATCAGGAACAGGAAGAAGAAAGCAGACCGTCCATGGACTTATTTAAGGCCATCTTTGTGAGTTCCTCAGATGAAAAATCTTCCTCTGAGGAAGAGAGTGATGAAGAACAGCAGCCTTCTACTTCAGTAGTAGATTCAGAAACCACTGGACAAGCTGGTCTGCTTGATAGTTCTTCATCTAACATACAAGGTAGTTCTTAATGCATGCCTATTTTTATAAGCATCTTGTAAAAGCTTCCTTTATGAATCAAGTACTTCTGGGACTGCTAGGACAGTGCTATATTCTGAACTAACTTGTATAATAGGTCTATTTTGGTTAGAAAAAAAAGAAAAAAGAAAAGAAAACACAAAGCGAACAAACAAAAACAAGTAGAGGCAATACGTGGAAATCATTCAGGATGTCAGCTATGCAGTTGGCCCAGGCAGTCCATGGAGATAAAGGATGCTGATCAGTTTGCTTTAACTTTCTCTGATAATTCTTGAAAGAAGTATTTCCTTTCAAATAAATGAGTTTTTTGTTTTTTTCATAGACACTGTGACTGTTAAAGCTGAGCTTGGTGTTTCTTCATTGCCTTCTTCGAAGCAGGAACAGAATAATGCGGAGGAGTTTGGACCGAAGTTGCCTCCATCTTTTTCTTCTGGTAGGTTCTGTAGACTTGTAGCGTATGAATTCTACACGTTAAAGAGAAATATCATACATACATCTTCAGTAAATGTTTGTGAAGCAGTGCCTTGCCTCTTAAGTGCCTGTGCTGTGTCAAACGTGTCCACACGCTTTGTTACCAAGCTGTGAGGGACTAGCGGGAATCTTTTTGCCTATGTAGTGTATAGTTCCACAGAGGCAGGGTTTATGAACTGTAATGGAGATACAGGATGAGCATTACAATTTCCTTATTAACAGATTGAAAAGGTGTTTAGTTACAGTGGGAACATTGCAGTTAGGAGTTTACACATTTCACACCTGTTTGAAAACTTTTTTTAAATTAGCATATTAAATTAATGTAGAATTTAAATATTAAAATGACCTTTTCATTACTGTTTGTATTTGTATTTTTTGTTTCTGCATTTGCTTTGTACTTTAGGCTCTACATGGCAACAAGAAACAGTGGTGCCAGCAATTTCTCCAGGGCCTAGCAGGAAAGAAAAACATAAAAAGAGCAGAGAGAAACACAAGACTAAGAGGGATCACAAGCATAAAAAGGAAAAGGTATTTAATTAAAATAATTGGTTTATTGGTTTTTTGATCTACCAATCAAATTTTCTTGTGATTTATGCCATGCTGTAGAAAATGAGTCAAATGTGTCTGAACTGGAACAGCTGAGGTTTCTCAGGTGATCTCAGACTAGAATTTGAAAACAGGACATTATTTAGCTAGGGTGCTGCTTTTCCCATTTGTACAATGTGAGTACAGACATTAAACATTATGTTTTATGCTGAAGATGTCGGCATATTCTGAGAGCTGTGCATAATTCACAACTTCTATATAAACTACTAATCAAACATCTATTTTGATGAGGTTTAAGAGTTGGAAAGAGATGAGTAGTTTTGGCATTTATTTTTAATTTTTAGCTCAGGCTAGATAGGGCCAAAAAGAAGTCATTGTTGAGCGTTTCAATTGAATGTGGAGTCTGCAATGAAATTGACTTTTAGGGATGTTTGCTTTTTTGTTGTTAGTGCCTTTCAGAAGAAACCAGCTCTTTCAAAATGAAAATTGTAGTAGAATGAATTGTTTTTCTTTTTACAGAAAAAGAAACACAGGAAACACAAAACCAAAGGAAAACACAAGAATAAAAAGTCAGAAAAGGACAGCAGCTCAGATACTACAGACAGTAGTGATAGCCTTAGTGATACAGATTCCACAAACCTGTCACCTAAAGAACTTCTGAGAAGGTAAGTAGAAAGTCGACTGAAATACTTGTGAATTTTGCAGTGTATATAACTGAAACCTCAGCATAGGAGTTTGCAGTTCAGTAAACTTATTCATAGCAAATATGGATCAGCAGGTCTCTCTATGTTTATAAAGCCTGTTAGTTTGTTTAATGAAGGGAGGAAATGTTGCAAGTGTCTTAAGCCTCTAGAGATAAAAGGCTCTAAATACAGCTCTGTGCTAGTTAATGGGGTTTATGGTTACAGATGAATGATATTTTGAAGGAATTAAAAATTAAAGAAGTGCAGATGGTGAGTCATATGTCCGTGACTTTGTCTACAGTCTTTACTTGGAAATGTTGGAAGCAATGTTGTCTGCTCCAGAATGTTTTAAGTCAGCTTTATTTTGTTGATAATCACCAAGAGACCAGATAGATTCACTGTATGGCTTTGATACTTGGGATGATTCTGCACTTCAGCAAGGAGCAGTGAAGCAAGGAGAATGATGCTTTTCATGTATGTTTCTGCTAAATCTAAACTGTTGTTTATTTATATAAATAGAGAATATAGAGAGAGAGACTTGAACACAGTGCTACCTGGGATGTGAAAATAAGAAAAAAACAGTTTGAAACTTTGTTCTGCTCCACACTTGAAATGCAGTTAAAACTAACTGCATCGGGTTGAGATCATAGTCATCTTAAGCCTCTGTCATCTCATGTGGAACTGTTACTGCATTGGATTATGCTGAGCCTCCTATTAGCAGGCAGAGAGGTCTGAATGTGTTGGTTGAGGTATTGCATCCAGCTGTCCTGGCAAAATTACTGTCATCTAGCTATTTTGTGGAGTGGAAATGTACCAACAGGAAAAGTCAGGATTCCTAAGGAGTCTGTCTTCCATTTTTTTGGAGCTGAGCTTCAGTTAAGTATTTGTCTTTTTGTATTAAAAAGCAAGGTGGTATTTTTGATTATGTAGATAGCCAAAATGTGTTTGAGTGTATTTTACACAGAATAGTTTGACTTCATTGTACAAGCTGATAATTTGAAAGTGTTTGTATTTGCTGAGCACTGAGATAAAGTGCTTCTATCCAAAGTCATTGATCTTTCTTAATTTAAGGTTTAACTTCTCAAGTTATTAAGTATTCTGAATGATGTATATGACTAGTTTATCCTCCTTTTCTTTCTTTCTTTTAGATTGAAACAACTTCAGTATTGAAGAGGCATCTTTCTTCATTGCTGTGTGTGGTTTTTAGATCTCAAATTTTTGATCTCCTCCGTGATGGTAGATCAGTCTTGTATATATGCTTTGAAGCATTGTAGATAACGTGTTCATATTGAATTTGTTTGAAAGTAAATGTTTATATGTTTATTTTGTGATGTTTCATATGTTTAAAATGTAATGATTATGGAATGTTGAAAAAGACCTCTTCTGTGTAACATAATGTTAAATACTGCAGGTTCTGTTTTAATTAATATGAAGCAAGATATTTTAATAAACCAAGTATTACAAATCATTTTTGTACAGCAAGTCATAACCTCAGACCTCTAAAACTTCAATCTCTCAAGAAGTATGGGAATGGCAGGAAGTTCTGGGGAGGTTTACATAAGGCATTAGGAAAAATTTATTTGCCACAAGGGTGGTCAGACACAGTCAGCACCTAGTGAGGTGGCTGGTTCCCTGTGTCTGCCAGTGTTTCAGAGACTGTGCCCTCAATAGTATGCCTTAAACTTTGGTTAGCCCTGAAGAGATCAGGTCTTTCGAAGGTCTTTTCCAACCGTTCTTTCTTCCCTTCACTCTGAAGGGCAAATGTTTGTCAGAATTAAGTTAGGGACTTAAAAACTGAAGTAATGTAAAATATGTATTGTGTGTGTTTTTTATTTCTTCTAACCTTTCTAATGCAGAAAGGTCGCGTTTTCCCAGCATCTGGCTGTAACTGGAGTTGGAACATCTCCCAAGTACGTATAGCATTTGTCATAGCAGACCTAAACCAGTAAGCTGTCGGTTTTACAGAAATAAAGGCTGTATTAGCTTTAATACATTAGTACTATAATTATAAACTGCATTATTCAGCTATTACATGTATTCACAATGAAAACACTACTTTTATTTCATGCGGTACATTTAGAAAGTACTTATAAAGTACAACTTGCAGTATTAATGTAAGCTACGACCCAGCAAGCTGTTAAGTAGACCTGCAGCCTCTCAGCTCCCAGGTGCACAAGGACTCCAGAACAACCTTGTCTAAACTTAGGGACAAAAACCTTCACTGAAATCCTCTATTGTAGGTAGTAGTTCTTCCGTGTCTGACTTCAGGTGTGTCTTTAGGTATCTGCAGCTTTACAGCAGCTCTTGATTAGAGCGAGGTGGTTAACCGTTGTGTGGTGAATTGCAGAATGCATGGTTTTTAAAATAAAGCCAACAAGAACACCTGGGGAGGGGAGAAAAAACATCTGAGGCGTTGAGGTTGCCTCCGCTGCAAGGAAGATATAAAACAGACCCTGCGTTGCACCAGCACAGCTGTGACAGAGCAAACCCACACTGTGCAGCCAGGCCTCAGGGCTGCGTTCCCGCCACTGCGCAGCCTGAGGCTGAGAGGGCAGTATGGCAGCAGGGGGCAGCCGTGGGGACCCCTTGGCCATAGAGCCACTGCCTGAGCCCCAGCCCGAGATGTCCCCAGCTGAGGGGCTCAGGGGGGACCAGGAGCAAATGGCAGAGGTGGGCTGGGAAGGGGAAGTTGGGGCTGTTGGGAGGAAGGGAGCATTGGCAGAGTGCTGGTCAGGGCTTCTGAAAGCTCAGCACCAACGATTGGGGCAGCTGGGCTTTTTGGTGGCTTAGTTCACACAGGCTTGTGGTGGGCTCTCAGTGACTGAAGAAAGGCTTTCTGAGAGTGTTTCACACAACTCGTGGTGGTCGTGGCTAAACAGCACAGCCCTAAGGCCTTTGGCACTGCCTCTCCATGGGCCAAAATCACTGAAACACAGAAAGGTTTTTGAAAGACTTGAGAGAGACTTTTGAGATTTAAAAATAAATATTGCTTTGCTTGAGAGAAACTGGGAAAAATAAACAAAAGAAAACAGCCCTGCCCTTTCTCTCCAGAAAATAAGAATCAAATCCATCGACCTTCTTTTCTCCACCATCTTGAGCAACTGCAGCCCCGTGCCAGAGCAGGACTGACGTCTCCATACAGAGCTCTGCTGCTGCATCGTGCTCCGCTGTGTGGAAGTGGCTGCCCCAAGGGTTGCCAGAAGAAGATTTCCTAAACTTTGCTCTGTTTGCTTACAGATTCAATTTAAAATTCTAAGAGGGCACGGCGATACTGTGAGTTCCTGCCATTTTTGCTGTGAAGACTCAAAAGTACTTTCATGCTCTTACGACAGAACAGTGAAGCTCTGGGTATGTTGTGAACACAACAGCAAATTAAAAAAAAATCTGTTATGGTTATGTCTTAGTATGATTTGACTACTGATAGGTGGAATATTTTGTAAAGAATCTGAAGTTGCCTCCTCATGGAGGAAGATGGCAGAGTACAAATGAGCAAGGAGTGAAATGTTGGTCAGTGTGATGGATCTTGGGCTCTTTGCAGTATTAGTCTTCATCTGTATCACTGCAGTACACAGGAGCCCAACAATGGACCTCTGGTTGTTTTTGTACAAACAACAAAAAGTCCTGGCACCAGTGCCTGGACCAGGCTGGTGTGGAGGCACGCTCATGAAACATGAGGCAACACTTGGGTGGACAGTACTGATGAGATTGGCTGTTCGTTATTTGAACGCAACATTCACAATTGAATTTAGAATAAACAGAAATAAGTTTTCATTTGTATTTCTAGATTAGACAAAACATGTAAGGCACACACGTAAGGCTAACATTATTTCACAAGCTTTGTTTTGCTTTGGTTTTGTGGTGCTGTGTATTTTTTCACAAAAAAAGCACTTCCCAATCAAACTCTTCTGGATTTATTCAAGGATGTTGCCGAAGGATTTCCTGTTCAAATTTTTGAAGAACACACAGCCCCAGTTTCTGAATGCAACTTGAGTCCTGACGATAGGAGGTGACTATTTTCTATCACAATTTATTTAAAAAGAGACAATGTGATTTTTCAAGGTTAAATGTGATTGCACGTGGAAAACATCAGACAAATTTAGAACAGATCAGTTACTTCTTTAGTTGTTCCTATGGTTTTCTATTTCATCAAAGTGAAACTTCTTTTGCTTCATTTTCTTTTCATTATTCCTATGTCTTTGTCTGGCAGCCTGTTCGCTGCCAGACTCCTTCATCTTCAGTTGATTTCCCCTACAGTTCGTGCAAGTCTTTTGGTTTTCATTTGGTGGCCACTGAAGGAATAGTCCAAGTCATGACCTTTGCAGGGCAAAAGAATTTGCTGCTTGTGAGTTATTTGTGGCTGGAAGTCTGTGGCTTATGTTCTGAAAGTAGTGTGTAAACAGGTATTGCATAGAAGAGCAACATTGAAGCACAGGGGTTCATCTGTCAGTGAGATTTATATGGTCATAAAAGTTCTGTATTGTTTATTAATAATCTATATGCTTTCCATTAAGCCTGTAATGTCAATTTAAGAAGAAATGCATCTTACCTAGTGTCAATCTCTGGCTATAATAATTAAAACAACTGCAGCATGCATTAACATTCGATTGAGTAGGTCATACGTTGCCACCAGGGGTATTATTTCTGCTACATTTTATCATTAATTTGTAGTTTAAATCAATTTTTATCAAATTAAAGAGTTGTCTAATCTCCTTTTGACCATGGGATTGCATATGTGCCATTCTGCCTGCTGCCTCCCAACCAAAAATGCCACCAGTTCATTATCTTCTTGTTATCTCTTGTGCTAAGTGCTTCCATTTAGGAGCAGAGATCATGCAAGTGAAGTAAACATATGCATAATGAGAAGAATAGAAGGTTTGAGAATTTATTTTTAGTTTGCATGAAGCTTCCTGGGCAAAATTTGTGAAAGTGACCTTTTGTGAACTTGATCAAAAACTGAAAAAGCCACAGTGGGACTAAAAACATTTGCCCCATACCGTGACGTTCCATATAAATGCTATTTTTTAGATATTTGGAAATATTCTAATAAAACAATGTGAAAGCAAACTTGGTGGTGACCTCCTCATTCATGGAAACCTGCCACTTGTCATCAGTTAGCTTTGTTGTGTAATGTGGGTTTGTGTTTGTGCAGAGCAGTGTCTGAAAATTGCATACGTGACATTTTTATTGTTAGTTTATATCTGAAATATAAATAATTACATATTTTAAACTGCAAAAGGCAATTTTTGCTGCAGTGCTTACAAATCTTTTTTAAAGTAATGAGTGTGAGGATGTCAAATCATTGTCAGAATTAAAAGTTAGCATTTATTTTCAAATGTCTTCTCTTGAGTGAGAACACTGAATGCTGTTTTCATGGTCATTTTTAGGATGGTGACATCATCCTATGATAACACTGTCAAGACCTGGGATATGGAAACAGGAAAAGTGCTTGTATGTATCCTTTTGAGTGCATCCTCAAGAAAGTGTAACTGTAAAATTCAGATGCATTCCTTAGTTATTGACAAAGAACAAAAAAAACAAAAGCATTCTTTGCACAATGCACTACAGTCAGGGTAGGCAGGCTTGATTTTTAGTCTAGGTTTTGGTCTGATTAATTGTTTGATCACAGTAAGTCCCTTGATGATGAAGATGTCTCAGTTATTTCAGATAAAAATGGCTGTAATAGTAATAATCTGTCTCAGAGGATATGTTAGACTGATTGAATTAACAATTTAGGATTTGAACGAGGTATCCCTGTCTAATTTTAAACTTACTGCCATTTTTAAGATAGAATTGGATATAAATACTTCTATCACCTTTTGCTGAAATAAAGTAATACCAAACTCCTTTCTTCTGAGCCTACTTAGAGATTAAAGCAAGTGCTGTTAAAGGCTCTTATCTCTAACCCTCAAATGTGTTTCCAAAAGCCTTTCTTTTCTTTTTAGTGGACAATAGAACATGAAGGCATCGTAACTTCATGTAATATTTCCCATGATGGCAAATACGTGGTATCTGGCTCAGATAAAGGCAATGCCATATCTGTTTTTGATGCAGTAAGTGCAACACAGGTGGTATGTGTCCAAGGTAAGATTGTAAGATTTATGACTTTTAAATTTTGTTTATTCAGTTCTTGATTTCTTGTATTTCTTAGTAATAGCAATGAACTCAGTTCAGATGCCCTTCCTTCATAAGTGTCTGCGTTTTGCAGATAGACTGGCACACAGCTGCTGTGGGTAGTTCTGCCTTTCAGACTTGTGCACTGAGATATAGAGAGCTAATGATCCAAAGCTGGGAAGCAGCTTTGCAATAGTTCCTCTTGGTGTGTTTTCCATAGGTCATCACAGGAGTACAATCACAAGATGCTGTTTTGATCCTGATAATCAGAGGGTGACTTCAGTATCATACGATAAGACTATAAAGCTGTGGGATATGGTAGCTCGATCCACCTCAATTACAATTAAAGAGTAAGAAATAATACTGTAGTTAATTATGCATGGTATTGTTTGCATCCTTGACAATTATCAGTGAGAGTTATGGTAAGATTTGTACTGGAGAAAATGAACTGTAATTGTTGAACTGAATTAAGTTATATGTGATATATGTGGAATGCATGAATGAAAATTTCCACTCAAGCTTCCTGCTGTAAATTATTGAAAAGTTGCATTTTGTCAGCGTTTTTGTGCTAGTTTTTAGAGCTCCTAGGTTCTTTTAAATACACTGGAAGAAGCATATGCAATATAGTGCTGAAGTACAAACTTACTGGTGTAATTCCTACTAATTAGGAAGAATTTATAATCATTGACAAGTGAGAAGATAAAATATTACATAGAAAAAAAAAGTCTTTAAAAATATTATATAGTGAAGGAGAAGTAACACAATGGTTATTTTGAATTTTAATTATTTTTCCTGTATAATTGAGGGCCATCTTTGGCTTCCCTCTTTGGCTTCTTTTCATCTCTCATTATCTCATTATCTATGTTGTTAATGGCAGTATGAATCAGGACTGGATCCAGGACAGATGCTCTGGACCCCAGCTCAGCATGTACTTATATTTTCACAGTGAACCAATTGTGGTCACTCAGAGTTCTGGTACAGGTTTTCCAGGTGATTTCTTGCTGCAAAAGTAATCCCTCCTATTTAATTCCATGGAAACTGTAACAAAAGAGCACAAGAACACTGGTTATTTAAAATTGTTATATATTTATGTATTTTAAAATAAATTTATCATTTTTCAGCTACAAAGTGCTATTTTGCAGCATAGGCACCATCATCAGATGTGCATTTTCACCAGCAATGAACAAGAGCCTGCACCAGTGGAGGTGACCCACTGTCACTGTTACCACTGCTGGGATGCACCATGCACTGCATCACCATGCTCACACCCCCTGTTTGGTCTCCACCAATGTTCAGCAAGTGCCAATGAGTGCCAATGGGTGCCATTTTTTCCACATGGAGGAATTCAATGGCATGCCTCTGCTACATGTGCATTTCCATGTAAGATGCCATTTTGTCAGACTGTCCCTCTGCTGGCATCTGTAACACAGCAACAATATCGGTGGGAAGATTCAATCTCTATGGTGATGCCATACCACCAATATCTACCACTGATGTGGGCTGACACCATAAAAGGCATTACTTTTGGACAGTGTCATGCCTAGTACCAGCAGCTGTGCTCCTAGTGAGCTCCTACAGCTCCTTGTGCTAAACCCTTTTATCTCTCACTGAAATAAGCATTTAAAATATTTAACATTTAAAAATTAGGTCAATGTTGGGCATTATTATCATTTTTAAGAATAAATTATATGATAGATATCAAGTGAGCTGTTAAAATAGCAGTAGCTTTTAATAAACTCAACAAATTTAGCTTTGAATTATAACAACAGTAAACAGAGAGTGCCTTTAAACAGTAATAAAATGGTCTGATGAGGAATTAGGAGTTAGTTTGGATGGGAAATTCAATCTGGAGCATTGTAATAATATTTCTTTTAAATCACAGTGACGACAGCTTTGTTTCCTGTAAGAGAGGCTTGTGATCCCTCCCCTGGTGCAGACTGCATGAAGCCCCGAAGTTTTCAACCTGTTCCAGAGCTTCCAGATTCCTTTTATAGACTTTAATATAAATTGATTAATCTCTTTCCTCTGAGTATTAGAATGCAAATTCACATTTTTTGGACTTTTTTTGGTAACTTGCTTTTAAAGAAGTGTGGTTGTTCTGTAGCTGCAAAGCAATGTCATCGCTCACTCACTGCTTGGGTTCATTCTGGCCAATGGCTCACTCTGCAAGGAGCCCAAACCCATGCAGGCTGCAGGGCTGTGAGCAGCTCCAGGGGCTTTACAGAACTATCCATACAGTTAACATTCAGAATGTGCTTATGATGCTCTACTGGATGGAGAGAGTGCTCAGTGCCACAGGAGGCTCTCTGAGAGTTTGATAATGCTTACAAAACCTCTGTTGGGGTGTTTTCATGTTTCAGGGGACACAGCAATGCTATCTCAGATTGTTGCTTTACATCTGATGGTCGATACTTATGCACAGCATCCTGGCACAGGAGCTTAAAAATATGGGATGTAAAGACAGGAGAATTTCGGAGTCGTGGACCTGTTACCTTGAACCACGGACATGAGGGTTCTGTTAGTTCCTGTTGCTTTAGCCAAGATGGTGAGTTATCTTGATACCAGCACACGATGTAACTCAATATCTGTGTACGTGACATAGCAGGTGAGCCACAAGCGACCACTCCAATCGCGTAAGAAATTTGTCATTTCCAAGATAGCATATTTAATTACAAGAAAATGATCTCCATGTAAATTGAAGTTGATGACCACAGCCCCTCTACAGGCATGAAATTTGTATTATTGCAAACTGCCATTGTACTGGAACAGATTCTCTTCACTGGCATGGGCTGATATGAGTTTCTCTACATATTGGTCTAATTAGCTGTTCCCTTTTGCAGCTTCACTTCTTCACTACTATTACTATATTTACTATTACTGTTTACTGTTACATTACTATTATGCCAAGTTATGCTTACTATTTATAAAATCAAGAACGTTAGCAACAAATAGCCAAAAGGAACTTCTAGCATCTTGTCAGAGCATGACTAATAGCTCATTACTTACGTGTTATTAACCAAGTCTGACACAGTGCTAGAAGGAGTCTCTTATTAGTCTGTGTGCCAAAGCAAATATACAGTAAATATTCTGATTTCATATTTCAGCATCACTTGTAGTGTCTGGTGGATATGACAACGCTATAACCATATGGGAAACAGATGCAGGATATAAGAAGTTAAGCTTAAAGGTACTGCGGTTTTATTTTGTCAGTAGTTTGATGAGAAGTTGTAAAGTGTGTGCTCCTTTAAAAGCATTGTATTTGTTGTTACACAGTATCCTTGCCCATCCTTTCCAGATACAGGCAGCAAAACATACTGAATTTGTGTGATGTAATTGGTTAGAACAATATATTCATACACAGTCAGTCAGGAAGATACTACCTCTGTCAGGTCAGTTATAAACATGAGACTCCAGCTAACTATGGGATATGATTTTATGGCATGACTTAAAACTGTTCATAACTTTGTGTGCCCATTTTGCAAATGTTAATTTCACAGAAGTCAGGCAATTATGTCAGAGTACAGATTTGCGATCTTGGTTCTTTTCCTGTCCTCTGCAAATCTGATTTCAGTGGACTTCTTTTTTCTTTCTTTCTGAATTACTGCATGCAGTACTGAAGGCTTAGCTAAAACGTTCATGAAAAAGCCCACCTGGAATGTGTCAGAAAATACAGCTTTCCTTCAAAGCCTTTTGAGCTTAAAAATAACTTTCCACTGTTGTCTGCGTTCAAGATAGTATCTTTATTTGGGGGAGTTTATAAGCTTGTGCCTCATGCTGGTTGCCTTACATGTAGGCTTACAAACCCTCCTGAATTGGAACTGTACAGGTTAAACCTTTTGAACAACAGCAGCACATGTTCTCCACTGGTGCTTTGCAGGATGCAATTACTGCAGATATCCCAGTTCACAGCAATCGCTGCAAGTAACTCAGTTTGCCATTAAACACAAAGGCATCTGTTTAAATGTTAATGTCTTTGTAGCTATGGAGAATTCCTGTTCCTTGCTCATGACTAAATTTAAAAACATTTTAAAGATTCTGCTGTAAAAAAACTACTTAAGTTTTATATATGCATATTTAGCTTTTTCTCTGTGCTTGGAAAATACACAATTGTTCGTCTTTTGTAATTAATTTATTGAATGTGGTGTTAATCATAAAAATGACACCATATCTGCCCAAACCTTAGGGATTTTATCTGTTGATTCCATATATGTTTATACAGCCTACATCACTGAAGTAAGCACGTCATTTTAGACTTCAACCTGCCTCTGTTCTTATGCCAGCTCAGTGTTGTTCACTGGAGATCAGCAGTGCTGCTGTTGTCAGAAGGAGGGCATCTGATACAGCTGCTAGACCTGGCCTGTTTTCAGCATTGGGTTCCCTGCCTTTAAATGGGGGGAAGCTGCTGTCTGTTCCCAAAGCTCTTTCCTCTGTTACTGCATGCTAAGCAGCCTCTTTTTATTTATTTGTTTATTTATTTATTTATTTATTTGTTTATTTATTGAAGTAATTAGTATTAGGAATCAGCTCTTTCTCCTTACAGTTCTTTAATAAGCTGTTTAAAAAGTAGAAAAGAAGTCTTTCAGTGGAGCTCACCTTCATGGTAACTGACAGATGCACTGCCCCTGGCTGCTGCTGCCGGTGGGCTGCCTCCCACGGCCTGTAACAGCAACTGCTCTCAGGTACACGTGAGAGAACATGAGCTTTCTAGCAATGCCTTTTTCTGGCTGACCATGAAGAGTGTAGATAACAATTTTCCTTTTGCATTTCAAAACAAGTGCATAGTACAGACAGTAATTTTTATTATTAGAAAATTGACTATGTGCTTTTTTTTTTTTTTTTTTTGGCTTAAAGTTAGATTTTGCTTTACTGTAGGGCCATTGGGACTGGGTGACAGATGTTGCAATTAGTGAAGACAAGAAGTGGATTCTTTCAGCCTCAAAGGTGATCACCACTTTCCTGATGCGATTTCAAGAGCTAAATTAGAAGATTTCATCCCTTCGTGTCAGGTTTTGTTTGACAACATTTGAAAATAATTCAATTGCTCACAAAACTTCTGTGTTCTAATCAGTATCTACATCAAGTAATTGTAGAAAATCTTAAAAATAATTTGATGACTATGTTTATTTTTTGTTATCTTAAAATGTCCATGCAGTTTTAAGATTGCTACAGGTTGTTTCCAAAGATATGCTTAAACGTGAGACAGGTGATTCTTAAAGGTGAGAGGGTTTAGCACTCTCCTGTTGAGAGACTTATCTGAAGAAATAGGAGCTCATCTTCTTGGAAATTATGTAAATCAGTGTTTTGGTGATACACAAACATATAAAAATGATTGCTTTTGATTCCCAGGATTCTACTTTGAGACTGTGGAATATTGAAAGGATGGATCGCATACCTTCAGTGATAGAAAGCAGAAAAGAAAAAGGCTCAAAAATTGCTCAGGTTATATTATTTTATTTTCTAACCACACTTCGTATTTTATTCAGAAACAAAACCTGAATTTTAAAGGAAAGCTTGAGTTTTGCTAGCTGAAAGCACTAATGGATTGTTCTTTCTTTATGAAGATATGCACATCTTTTTGGGGGGAGTAGAATGTAGTAGTAACAATTCTCTTTTAAAAGTGGTTGTGATAAGAACACCAATTCATGTGCAAAGGTGCATCAAACAGTAAAATATGCCATTAACTTTTCTGTAAATATTTTCTATTGAATTTAAAATTAATGCTGTATAGAGTCTAATAGAAATGGAGTAAACTTCATGTGTGTGGCTGAACTACCATTTTTATTGTATTTATACCAGTGTGAAGAATGTGAAAGACCTTTCTTAAGCCTGCAGCATGGTGGCTTTGAAGTGATATCCAAGTGTGTATTCTGTCGTCTGTCTTCTCCAGCAAGAAGTATTTTGCCATTGCCACCTTCCATCCCTCCTGATCTTTAAATTCGTATGACAGTCTTTGGATGTTAACATATGTAAGTATAAATGTAATGTCTGTACACCTTCATGTACTGCACATATAAAGCTGAACATTTAATCTTGTTCTGCTGCAGTGTTCTGCATCAAGAATGATAAACTACGCTGCTAAGCAGGGTCTCTTGTGACAGGACAAGGGCAAATGGTTTCCAACTAAGAGAGGAGAGATTTAGACTGGATATAAGGAAGAAAGATTATGATAAGGGTAGTAAAGCACTAGAACAGTTTGCCCAGAGTGCTGGTGAATGCCACATCCCTGGATACACCCAGGCTCTGAGCATCCGATGGAGCTGTAGGTGTCCCTGGTCACTGCAGGGGCGTTGGACCAGATGGCCTTTAAGGGTCCATTCCAACTCAGACAATTCTGTGATTCTATGCTTCCCTTATGCCCTGAACAGCTGTGCCTTGTCACCCAAAGACTGAAACTGCCCAGTAGTTGAAGTCTATATAGTATGGTACTAGAGAACAAACTTATTTACTTGCCTGTTGGTAAATTTTAAACAATTTTTAATGAATACAGTAGTTCCAAGCTCAGTTTATTAATGAATATGTGTGAATTATAAATTATTGTCAAGTTTCCTTCCATTTCTTAGATAAACAATTCTTCTTGACTATGGCACATACAGAATCTTTGCTTTCAGTGGACAAACAAAGGATAATTATAAAGAATTTTTTTAAGTAAAATGATGAACAAGTTCATGGTCAGATTCTCCCTCTTGCCTCTTGCTGCCATGCTCCTACAAACTGCTGTGCAATAACTTCCAGCCATGAGAAGAAGCTGTAGTTCATGTCTGACACAATTCAGTACAAACTAGTTCTGTCTAATAAGGGTCCACCCAGCAAGGAGCACAGTATTCTTGGGAGCAACCTAGGGATTGCATCTATTTAGTGTATGTGCAAATATCAATTAATAAAATATTTAGTGTTTCAAAATGTCTGGAAGCCTTGTTCCTAAAAACAGTATTTTCAGACTTTTCAACATTTATTTCCAAGAGGTACTTAAAAGAGGAAGGATAGCTGAACCAGGAATCCAGTTCAACTCTAGAACAGAAGTACGGCGGTCAGGAGTCGGATCGATGTATTGGGCCCGCGAAGCACAAGTCGCCATCGCCCGGCGCCGTGGCTTAGTTGGTTAAAGCGCCTGTCTAGTAAACAGGAGATCCTGGGTTCGAATCCCAGCGGTGCCTGCGCGGTAGACGCTCGTCTTTTGCACGCCACCGCCGTTTTACCGCAGCTCGGAGCGCGGGAAGGGCGGGTGGGGCTGAGGGGGAGCGGGCTGCGCCACGGCTGTGTGCTGCGACGGGCAGCAGTGAGGAGAAAAGCGGCCGGTGTGTGAAATGAGGTGCATGCGCGCAATGTGTTATGTGTTTTTGCACGCGATGTGTGTTTGTTTGTGCATGCGGTATGTTTATGCACGCGATATGTTTTTGTGCAGCGGGGCGTTGCTCCTGCTGCCCGGTTTCTCTGCCGGCTCACGGCAGCTGCCTGTGGCGCTCCAGGCAGCCAGCCCACCTGTGGGTCTGCTGGTTGGTCACCTAGATTCCTAAGGAACTGCAAAGAGGATTTTTTTCGTTCTTACAGAGCCGAGAGAATTCCTCTGTCAGATGTCTTTGCTTCCTGTCTCTAAATCTTTATCCGCTCACTCACTGTTCAGTTTTATTCCCATGCTCTGTGACCGCTGGCCAGGTGTCCAACATGAGGCATGTGCCACCCCTCTACCCGGGCCTCCCCACCTCTCCTCATTCCCTTTTTCAGTTCTGTTTTTGCCTTTTCTGAGGGCAGGCTGTGTGGAAGCCCCATGTTCTCCCTCAGGCCACCGCTGAGGCAGGAGGTGACAGAACTTTCTGAGACATCCTGGAAGTCAAAGGCCAACCCTCCCCATTGGGCAGGTGAATGAGGTTCAGTGCAGTCTTTCCAAATGTACAACAGAGGCAATCTGTCCTCACATCTGAGCTCAGGAGGCTCTAAACCAGTTAGTACAGCACATCCCAGCCCAGCAGCTGTACCCTCAGGCAGGTTTTGGCCCACACGGGAGCTGATGGGAGTAAATGTAGTCACTGGCACATTTGGAGTGCAGAGTTGTTGCTGGGATGGAGCTTCTGCTGCCCCAAGAGCAAAGTATGGGCCTAACATCCCGGATCAGCGCCTGGCTTAACAGCTATCTGCAGGAGCCCTCCTTGGAGCAGTATTTGCTGTGCAGTCTGTCATAGTCACACTGATTCTGGGCTACTGACAAAATGAAGTTGAGTGTGCTGAGTATCATTTAGAGTATAATTATTTTCCTTATGCAAATTGAAGACCAAAGGTACATCTAGCCCCGTGGTTTTTCTGTAGCTGTGGCCAGCAGTGCATGTCTTAGGCAGAACATAAGCACAGGGCAAACGTGCAGTGATATTTTGCCAGAATGCTCTGCCAGCCTCCAGTGAATTCCAGCCGGGGGTCTTGAGCTCTCACATACAGACGTGATCAAATTTAATTTTTCATTTCTCCGTGTCTGTGGGTAGGAAGAAGTGAAGTGACTGCTGCAGGCAGATGTGCATATTGGAGACATCTATATCGTAGGGACAGTTGCCTAAAGAAGGAAAATATTAAAGGCAGTCAAATGTTTAGTGGCTGTTTATTGTAGCAGTGACTGAAGGCTTAAGGGAGCATATTTTTGCAGTTTGTCTGCAAGGGCTGACATTGCTGCCTGCACATTATTCACAAAGATTTGAGTGAAAAAATTTGATGAAAACGTTGAGTGAAATCACATCGCCCGTTAACCCCAGTTTGCAAGACTGCCCTTTCCTATTCCCTGACATGCTGCTTTGCAAAGTGTTGTACTTTGACAGGCATGCACCGTGACAGTGTCATGCCTATATAATGTGATGTGATGCATGTGTCATGAAAGGATCTGCCAGAGTGTAAATCATCAGCTTTGAACTTTGGGGTCGGGGGGGGAACTGTTTGGGATACTGCAGTCTGTGTAGTAGAAAGAAAATGACATTCTCCAGTTATTACTTTGTTGGGATGAATATTTTTTCATTTATAACTAATTTGCAGAAATGGCGTGTGTTGCTTGTGGGACTGTTGTAAGGTTTTTCATTGTCAGCTCTTACAAGGTAAGCAGTGGCACTGAGTGTCCTATTGAGCAGGAAGAGGCTTGCCCCACACCACCCAGCACATCAGCTCCTCACCTGTATTCATTCTGCCATTGAGATTCACAGCTCAGACCTTTATAGAGGTGAAACTGGTCTGGAACCTTAGAAATTCCACAGAGCATAACTTCAATGACAGAAAACACAACAGAGGGCAGTAGTGCAATTTAGATTCTTGTCATTTAGGACCTGTGCTGTTGTTCCATTCTCCCAGCTTGTAATTATTTACAGCTGAATAGAAAAAAATATTTGCATTTTTGAAAGCCTGTTTGTATTTCAGTTGGGAGCGAAATCCAAGGCTCTTCAGGGAAGGAGACAGGTTAGCTAGAAAATCGTAAGTTGTGTGCCCAACTCCTGCAAAATGGAGCAACAGGCTGCAATCCAGGGAAATGTCTTTATTCCTTATTGCAACAAGTCTTTTCTTTCCTTCAAGCAATTGTAGCTAGCCTAAGATCCTTAGAACCTAAAAAGTTAATATTAGTGAGGTAATCAAGAATTGATCTCGCTGACATCAATGGCACCACTCCCACTGACTGTGCTGCAGCAGATTTTCATTCAATAGAAGATAACAAAGAATCTGATTCATAATAAAGGGAGGAAAAGATGAGTCAAGCCAAGCTATGTGAGTAGAGTTTTTCTTGTGTTATTAACAGCGCACTGGCATCAAAACAACAAGGTCTGTCCTTATCTGCTGTAGTATTTGTGCTTTTTCTTTACTTACACAGGACTGAACACAATCAACCTTCACGTGACTCCTGCCAAAGCGTGTGCTGAGCTCTCATTATGGTCAGTGGAAACTATGGAGCACTGAGCTTTTCTGAAAATCTCTTGATAATATTTTAACACAGGTATTTGAGAATTCTCATCTGAATAACATTTGTTATGACGTAACTGTAGATTTGGTATTGTTTCTGGATGACTTTCTAAACAAATGGTTTTTTTAATTATACATGCTATCTACTTAAAAACGCTGCTCTTTTTGTCCTATGAAAGCAAAATTTAATGGTTGAAGGTATGGTAATAGCAAATACAGCCTCTTGTACTTGTAATTTCATTTGATGCTTCTCCCTGAATAAACTTCCTAGAACATCGTAGCCCAGGAACAATTAATTATAGTTTCTCTAATTATTGATTTGAGTTAATGTAGGTTTTTGTGAAAAAAAAGTCTTATATGAACTAATCAATTAATTTCTGGTTCTGACTTTTGACAAATTATATGACTATGTATCCTGCCTTCCTGTTAGAACATTTGCTGTCAGTAACAAAACAATCTCCAAACCACATTGAAGTCATTCTGTTTGGCCAGCCCTAAGAGGCTGGTTTTTTTAGTACTACACCTTCTTTTTGTTGTGCATTTTCCCCTTAATTAACATTTTAATTTGCATTTTCATGCAGAACAGAATTAATCACCAAAATAAACATGTTTTCCCCTTTGAAATGGGCTATGCTCTTCCACTGAGTGCTTCTCGTGGTCATTTAGTTTGTCTTTATATAATAGCTATGCTTTATCTTAATTGAGGAGCATACCCATAGCCCATTATTTCCATAACTTTTAAGCAGCCAAAATCTTTTTACAGTGTTATCTATATTAGTTGCATTCTAAAATTATTGCTTTTTTCTCTTAATAGAATGTCATTTAAAGTGTAGGAACTGTGTGTCCTTAACCACAATAACTGCAAATGCATGTGTGATGAAGGCTGGGATTCTGCAGTCTGTACAGCTGCCATTATCACATGACATCCTTTTCTTTAGGCTGAGGAAATGTATCCCAGGTATTTGTTGCAAATTCCTTTTGGCCGTGGCCAAAATCTGCCTCTGTTCTAGGATGGCGAGAGGATGGTGACCTTCTTTCCATGTTCTTTCCACAAGGCCAAGTGCTGTTCCTTCTGGCAGTCTGTCTGACTGCGCTCTGTGGGAACGTAACTGGGAAGATTAGGGGAGAATGAATGAATTAGTAACTGCAAAGGCAAACGTGGAATGAGCAGAGCCAAGAGCTACCATGAGTTGGCGCATCCCTTTAAACAGTAAGACCCATGCCATTATAACATGATGCAATGGTCCAGATTCAGGTCAGTAATAAAAATAAGAGAAGGATCTAGTCATTTGGTTTAATACCAGCTTGTTGAATCTCTGATTCAATCATTTCCAAATGATTTCACATAAATTGATTACATGGTTGCTGCTGGTTTCTGTATTTCAGCAACTTTGAACATGGGGCCCTCAGGAGAGCTTAAAAATAGATTTGGGGCTGTCTTGGCACCAGTGGCTTTAGGCCTGCCTGACACTGATCAGAGCTAATTTGCCTGCAGAGCCCTGGGCTGGTACTGTGCAATCTGAAATCTATCCAAGCCTTTGCTCTGTCTCTGTTCTTCCCTGTGAAGAACCTGAGGAAGAACATTCACTAATGGCTGCTGGAGTGACAGTGCTTTGAAGAAAACAGCATACTTTATTCAGTGAATGCAAGTATTTTGGAAATGAAATCACGTTGCGGTTATATTGAGAATCTGAATGCTTGCACGTCAAGATTTGTGTTTCACTAATGTTATTTGCATTACCTTTTTGTCCCCTGAACTCTGGGCATTACAGAATACCTATGGAGCCCTTGTGTACTGGAATGCACTGGGTAAATTGCCCACAGATCCATCTAGAATTGTGCGGAGCTCAATGTGGGCGCTGCAGTGAGTAATTGTAATTGTTTCCAACTGGGATTACTGTACTTTCAGAAAATCTATAGACATGAGATGAAATATTTAAAATCCCTCGCCAGTTAAATATTTGCCACGGGCCTCACTTTGGAGAAATGGGAAAGCTCTGTGATTCATACGTCCATGCTGTTGCAGTCGGTGGGCACTGCTTTGCCATTACGCTCAGTGAATGCAGGGTTGAGGACAAATGAGCTAACACAGAGCACCAAGTTCTTTGCAGTAAGGGAAATGAGAAGCATTGAATTCACAATTGCTGCACCTCCGGCTGAGTAAATGGATCGATGCCATATTGTGTAATGAAATAATGTTATTAAATACTGGCTCTTTGGATTACTATTTCTTTAGCATAACACCAGTTGATGGGCATAAATAGTACCTTGTATAGTTGAGTAGAAGAACATTGCTTAAGTAAGATAAATAAACAATTATTGTAATTAATTTCACTTTTGACAATTGACAAGTTACCGTAAGAATAATATTACAAGTACATAGGTTTGTTTTCCTGACTTGCTTGGTATTTATAAGTGAGCTGTTATATTTTTTGCTGCACAACAGCATAGGCATGAATGCATACAATTTTTTTTGTTCATTTGTTCCAAGATGGTCTGTGAAAAATGATAGATTCCTTAAATTTAATTACAGTGAGCTCCCAAATCAACTGGTTGGTTGAGTTACTAACTGAAAAATCAACACAACCTGTCTATAAATAATTCTGAAAAACACAAATATAATATAAATGCACTGATAAATAAATACTAATTCTTTTATTGAAATACTTTTAAAACTGGTTTAATCTTCACAATGCCTCCCCAGATGCTGGCACAACAAGGAGTGTGTTGCCATGGGAAGAAGTGCTATAATGAGGAATATTTGAGCACTGATAGCTGTAAATGCATGTAATGCTGGATCTCTAGGCAGTTTCTGTGCTATGTATATTGCGTTACCCTGCACATCTGTACAAAGATCAAAGGATATTTCTGTTATCTACTTTTGATTTAGAATTTCTGACTCTGCAGGTTCTGTCTACCTGTTTGACTGCTTTTTGTTGTGGTGAATTCATAAACGTGTGAAATATAAATATAGAGAGACCTCTTTACACACTTTTCTTTCATTGTTGCTTGTTGCAGCTGCCACTCTAGATACCGGTGAGTGTTTTTGTAAATTGATCTATTGTACATTTTCCAATTTTATTTCCTTATTTTTCAATAATTTAGTTGGCTTATCTATCTGGCACCTTCATCTCCCACTCGATTAAGGGAATAACCAGAATGATTTGACAGCCACGTAACTATCCTGGGAAGGGATGACATCTCTGGGCAGCAGTGCACGCAGCCATGCCACTGTTGCCCTCGAGGATAAATAAACAAATGTCAGCTCAGGGGAGCACCATTGATCCTGCATGTGGAGTTGATGAGTATGAAACAGGATCTTGGATGACTACCTTCAGAAAAAGGGACTTACAAGGACCAGAATTTTATTTTTCTTGACTTTATTTCTCAGTTTTTGACAAATATTTTACTTCTTCTGGCATCATATTTCCGTATTATGTTGTACTGTAACAATGTATACAGTTGTGTAGTCCAGATCTCAAATCATATGAAAGATTTATCGAATACCTCATGAAAGTTTTGTGAAAACAAATACCCTGTTCTCATAAAATAGTTTCAGTCTCTAAATTGCCAGATATCTTTTTGGTTTTAATTCTCTCCAAGCACATTTGTAGACAATGTGCATATGAATTTATAGAACTGCTGTCTTGTTTATTCTGCTGCTTTCTTACAATGTGGTTATTACACAATTGTTGCAATGATTTTTTCCTTCACATTCTTCAACTCATTTACCACAAGCTCTTCTTTATTCTTGGTCAGAATGTACAACTGGCAGCCATAGCTGTGCTGTGCCTAATAAGTCACAGTTAAAAGCTATATTGGATTATTTGGTTCTTTTTATGCAAAAGAAAATCTGACTTCCCGTGCTTTTATGCTTCATTGAAGAGTGAAGCAGCTTTGATTCTTCTGGAAATCTGACATTTAGTTTTGCTCCACGGTTTATTCCTATTCTCTGTTCTTTGTTTTCTCAGCCCTTTCAGTAGTGTGGTCTGAATAAGCATGTTCATTTGTCATCATGTTATTCATTTTTATATTAGTCATTATACAATGAGTTCACTTGCACACTTCAGACAGCTTTAATGTGTTTGAGGTTTTGTACGCAGCCTAATACTGAAAACTAGCCTAGACAACAAGGAATAGAGATGAAATTGTCACACCTTCAGGGCAGGTACGATTTCCTATCTATGTCTACCAACCCCCTATCCCTGACCACATGCTTTCAGTTTTTATTTGGAACACTGAGTGCTTATACTGTACTTCTTGCTCCTGCAGCTAACGGTTATATCACGAAGGTGCCAGAGAGAAGCATTCATTGATTCACAGCAACACAGCAAATATTCCAGAGCGTTTTCTATCACGGGAGCATACCTCATGACTTGTAGAAATCAACACGTCCTGCATCTCCTTAACTGTAAGTACTGGCACACAGTCTGCAGAATGATCTCACGTTCACACCTAAGTATGTGCTGGTATTTCTGTCCCCTTAAGCTTTAAAGTTGCTTTTACTTTTAGCAAAATTAGCTGACAGGCTGTTGTTCTGATGAGCCAGTATAGCAACATCCTCATATCCCTGTTAATATATTATATGTACTACGAATCTGGCTGTAATATCCCTGTGAAAAACTGAGAGAACTTTCTAGGTGAGTTCGTGCATTCCTTAACATCCTTTCTCATTCTTTCTGTGGAACTGCCTCACTGATGCACAGCTCCAAATTTTGCTGTGTTACCCTTCTATGCCTGTTAAGAAGAGCTTTGCAATCATTTGGGAAATAAGCTGTAATTTGCTCTTTTATGAACCCAAAAATCACTGTGCTATGAATATGTATTGAGAAGTTATAAACAAATGTGAAAGAACTGTTAGTAATAATGACTTTAGATGCTTCCAAGGACATGCTTGTAGTATAAAATCTTTAAGACTCTTTAAACTATGTGGGGTGTTACAGTGAATAAGAAATGCGCTTCATGCAGCGTGGGTCTAGAAGAACATTACA